AAAACAATATAATCTCTGCATCCCCTCCTCTCCCCCTGTCTACACCCAGCAGCAGCTAGAGCTTTCTTGCTGCGCTCTGGCCCTGTTCGTGTTGCTGCTGCTGTTGCTGCTGCTGCTGTTGCTGCTGTTGCACTAGTTTACCTCTTCTGGTGTCTCTGCAGCAGCAACCTCGGGTTCTGTTTCCTTCGCAGCTGCATCTTCTTCTAGTAATGTCTCGGGCTTAACGGGCTGGTTCTCTGCTTCCTCCTGACCCCAGTTATGATTGCCTGCTCCTTGTTTCTTTACTTCCCTCCCTCTCCCCGTGCCGCTGTGGCGGTCATACTCCCGCCGCTGCATCGGGGGGCCCCCGCCGGGGGCCCCGGGGCCCCCCGGGGGCCCCCCCCTGCCTCTCCCTCTGAACCCTCCACCCCCACGACGACGCTGAATGGGCCCCTCTCCCTCCTGGGGCGTCACCAGCTCATCGTTTCCATCTGGCTGAGACCGCTGGCGGTAGCCTCTGAAGCCCGAGCCGCGGTATTCACCCCCGAAGCCGCCTCCTGCAGCACAAGCAGCAGCAGCAGCAGCAGCAGCAGCAGGGTGAGGGTAGACTGGTGCATGCAGGAAGGAGAGATGTAGGCGAACCCACACGAAGAAGAAAACACAGAAATGCAGGACGCAAGACAATGCTGTAAAGTATGCGGGGCGTCACAGCAGCAGAAATATGAGCTCTCGGCCTGCGCGGTGCTGCTGATGGGGCGCGGTAGAGCGGCCCTGGCAGCATCCCGACCTCATACTAGAGAAGAGGAACTAAAAATTTAATTATTTAGCTAGAGAAAATACTAGGAACCGAGAAAACGGCAGCAGCAAACAATAGCAGCAGCAGCAGCAGCGGCCGCAGGGGCGCGGGGGAGGGAACAGGGAGAAGTGGCTGAGAGGTGTTGGGGTGTATGTACAGGTGTATATGCAAGATGTGTATATAAAGAGAGAAAAGATAAAGGGCGTGAATGACTTACTGCCTCGGAAAGGCCTGCCTTGTCTCTCACGCTGTGGGGAGGTGTTCTGCTGCTGCTGCTGCTGCTGCTGCTGTTGCTGCTGTGGTTTTTTCTTCGGAGCAGCAACGGTCCCCTGCTGTTGCTGCTGCTCTGTGGGAGTAGGAGGAGCAGCAAGAATGATTTCTCCTTCGTCTGAGGAAGCGTCGCTGTCCGCCCCAAAGGCAGCAAACTTGTTGCTGACCCCCACAGTGTAGTACTTCTGGGGTTTCATCTTCTCGACTGCTACAACAGCTTCAGCCCACCTAAACCCGCAGCAGCATCGGTTTAATGAACCCCAAATAACTCCTATTCAAACACGAAGGCAAATGCACAAACCAATACAGACCCCAGAAGGCGCCACCACTACCAGATGCTGGCGCCTCCGCTGCTGCTGACGTTGCTGCTGCTGCTGCTGCTGCTGCTGCTGCGGCAGCGCCTGCGGCTGCAGGCATAAGCAGTCGCACGGCTATGAAATATCGGACACAATTCTCTCCTCGACCGGAAATGTAATTAATAATTTTATTTATTTTAAGTAAAAAAACAAAATACACGCAGTAGACATACGCACAAACGCAACGCCACCAGCAAGATCTACAGCAGCAGCTGCTGCTACAAGCAGCAGCAGCCTGATGAACGCGGGCGGAGGGGGGGGGGAGGAGCACACACAAAAGCAGCAGCAGCAGCTGCTGCTTGTTGCAGTTATTTCGTATCATTTATCCTCATGTGTTGCTGTTTTATTTATTGTTTTTTGTTTCTGTTTTTCTGTTTTATATTTGTTTGTTCCTCTCGAATTCATTCACCAGCAGCGCACCAGCCGCCCGCAGCTCCTCTCGTTGCAGAGGGGATACACCAACCCCAAACTATATTGTGATAAAATTGAGGCAATAAAAAACACACAAAAATAAAAAAAAACAATATGAACACCAAAGCAACTCATAAGAAATGCAACAGAGCACCAGACCTATTCGCCTGTAGCGCTGAGGATGCACTGCAGCTCGGGCGTCTTGAGCCTGCGCCAGCAGTATTATAATATTTTCCTAAATGAAGTTTTAATTTAATTTAGTAGTAAACGGATACAAAGAGGGAGGGTTTTAGTGTGGGGCAGCCAGTTTAGGGT